GAGATGCGGTCTGGTGTGATGTAGGTTTCAGAAAAACATCTNCTCTCTCTCTCTCTCTCTCTCTCTCTCTCTCTCTCTCTCTCTCTCTCTCTCTCACTCCCTCCCACGAGCACGTAAAAAACCCACCGAATTACTCGAAAACGGTTGAGAAATTGGGCAAAGTGGAAGACTGAAAGCTTATTAAAATTTCCTATCGATTGCTATAGGATTTCCTGGCTCCATAGCCCAATTTGAAGTTTTTGTAAAAACTGAAAAATTAACATGTTCTCGAATTTTTAAATTTACCGATGAATAACTGGAGCGAGGAAAAACATTTAAAAAAAAGCCATATCGTTCAGCGTGAAATTTAAAAAAAAATGAGATCTAGCGCGGGTCTGTGACTTAAAACGCTGAGAAAATAAGCATTTTCAAAGTTGGCCAAAATTTCGTGCAAGGCAACGTATCTTTATCCTCCGGAGAGACCAGGCATTGTACCTAAGATTGTAAATAAGAAATTTAAAAAAAAATTTAAATCGATGTTGTCTCTTCTTTTACAAGAATTTTAGCTCCCAAACTAGGAGGCTCCATATGCGACCAAAGGTCCAAACGTTTTTCTATATTTCACTTGTGAATAAAAAAAAAACCCCCGGATAAATATGCGCGGAATGAGTACAAACGATTGACAAAGAATTTTATAACGGCCACTAATTTTTAACAGCCCACCCTGCCCAGTTTGCAGTGAGAATGTTTACTTTTTCGTAAGGAAGCCAAAATTTGTTGCCTTATTTCATATATGGGTCATTTCGCGAAATTTTTCAAATCTGCTAAATGATTCAGAAAAGATCTGCACTCATAAAAGAAATCAGTTCTTTCAGCTAAAGCTTGTTTGGACGATAGTAAGGAACTTTGACCCAACCAATTTAAAATAAAAGCGTATATAAATTTCAATTTGTACTAGCGTCATATTTAAATAAATTCTCACTAGATCTGGCAACGAAGGTTATTAGGAGTACTAAATATATTTTAAAAAATCTAAAGATGAATTCATGTACCTACGAAAACCATTGGGTGTTGTCTATATTTGGAAGTCAATTTCGTTATTTTGGTGAGTGTCTAAACCTAATTGATGGATTTTTTTTGGCTTTTTTCAGTTTCTCTAATGGATGCTTTAGTATATGGTGTTAAGATCGCTAAGTGTTTTTTCAGTGGGTCTAAAGTACGTCTAGATAGATGGTGTCCATTATCAGCCATAATCTTTAGGAACTGGTTCTCCTCGAGGGGTCGGAGATGTTTGGTTCTCCATCTTTTCGGGTGTGTATGTCTCAGTTAAATGTATACGGGTTTTGTAAGTCGCAGTGCTTTTGTGTACTATATTTTTTAGTGTGTCGATAGCCTCTTTACTTAGACAGATTGATTTGGTTCTTCTACGAAAGCAGACTGGTTTGGCAGTTGAGGGGATTGACATCTTCTTGTTTTTAAAACTTTAAATTGAATTTTAGAATGTCTGCAACATGCTTTGTATGTAGGGGCTGGCTTATTTCACTATAGGTCTAACGGAGAGGTTTTTGGGAGGGATGTTTGGCAGTTGGGTTTTTCTATGTGGGGTCTCTGTTGTTCATGCTGTGGTCTAAGGTGGCTATCATATTACTAAATATACCTTGGGGCAAAAATAAAAATTGTGAGATTTCCTCCTGGGGTCTGCGTGATGATAAAACTATTGTTTGACAGTCACCTATCATCCTGGTCTATCGTTGGTGATTTTTGTTAATTTATTTGTTGTCTTTTTAAATGTTATTTCATTAATTTGTTAATTGGATTAACAGAAATCAGCGAGGATAGGCTATCAAAAAACTGGTCCAATTTTGGCATTATTCTAGGAATGACAGACTGTATAACTGATGAAGTCGAGAAGGAAGACTTCTCATAGGACAGGGGAAGGAAATGGAAAACATAAATTGAATTTATACCAAAACGCTTAAACTTTAAATTCCTGAAAATTTGTTTTTGAACTGTTTTTTGTTTTCAGTACAAGAACTACTCACGATCAAGGTATAGACTTTTGAATAAGAAAGCAAAAAAAACTACTACCAAGATTTCGATCTTTTTAAGGTCATCATCAAGGCGATACAATCTTAAACATGTCTACAGATTGTCATATTTAGGTTTTTACAGATTAAGTTATCTCAAATTTCCTTGACCGACTCAGACCTAATATCGCCAAGGAAAGTTAGGCAGTAGCAACTGAATGTGCTTTCTTCTTCAAGTCACCTTGATCCTGAATGTTCGTTACCCAGTTTTGACCCGAAGATGCAGAATTTTTGTACTGAATTAATCATTTTTCCCATAAAAAGTTCTTAACAATATTGAATACTTTAAACAATAATGATATATAGATTTTTCTTGTTATCGAATTTGTTTGAAAGAGCAAATGTGTTGATTTCATATGATGAAGTATATAAACAAATATTTATTTAGAAATCGTGAGATGCGGTCTGGTGTGATGTAGGTTTTAGAAAAACATTTTCTTTATCGTGTCACGTTTCGACCTCTATTGAGATCATCTTCAGGGCCTGGGATTTACAAACATTGTTTACATATAACAATTACATTTTGAACAAATACTTTGATTGAATATATAAAAAATATATTTTGCATTGTATAAATTCACTTTTCCACATCCAAAATGTAAATAAACAATGATAACTCTAAAACTAAAAGGTTTTGCACAAATCCGTTGATACTTTTGAAAACTACTTTAAATTTCCAATAAGATGTGGTTAACGTTAAACTTGTAAACCTTCGTAATATAGGCCTTTTAGTAGCGAGAACTTTGACAAATAATTTTTTTTTTGAAACTTGAAAAACTTACTATGGTGATTCTAAATTACTATTTTCAAACCTAGAGACGAAAAAATTTCAGAAAAGGTACTCCATTTAATATTCTTTTTAGTGGTGTAATTTCTTTTTTAATTACTTTTTTCAAAGATGAAGAAATTGATGGAGGAAAGGAAAAAAACCGTGGTTGAAGGATTGGTAAGATGGAAAGATTAATGACAATAAAAAATAAAAAACGTAAGGAAATTTTGGATGAATTTTTTTCCTTTCCTCCATCAATTTCTTCATGTTTGAAAAAAGTAATTAAAAAAGAAATTACACCACTAAAAAAGATATTAAATGAAGTAAGTTTTCTGAAATTTTCTGGTTTCTAAGTTTGGAAATAGTAGTTTAGAATCACCATAGAAAGTTTTTCAACTTTGAAAAAAGATTTTTTTTTTAAAGTTATCGCTACTAAAACGCTTATTTCAGGACGGTTTACAGGTTTTAGTATTGATCACATCTTATTGGAAGTTTAACGTAGTTTTCAAAAGTATTAACGGATTTGTCCAAAACCTTTTAGTTTTGGAGTTATCATTGTTTATTTGAAGCAAGATCGTGAAATCTTAAAAGAATCAGAAAAAGTGAAATAACTCCGAAACTGCTGAGATTCGGACCGTAGTTAATTAGGACTTTTTGGTTCCATTTTGCGTGTAGAATCTACGGGTAAAGTTTGTAACACGAGTAGCCGAAGTTGTTATATTTTTGTTATAAAACATGGCTGAAATTCATAAATTTTCTCATAGAAATTCTTTAAGAAAAAAAAAGTCCGACACTTCCATAGGTGGTTCAGTGTGGGTAATGTGTACGACTGAAACGGGCGTACTAAATTTCTAATAACGAAAACCGAAAAGCACGAAGTCAAATGGATAATACGGGAATGGGGAGATAAATAATGCATGGACCGAGTAGATGATCGTATTTATTGGAATCGAATTGGGGTTTCATGGCCGGCCCGAGGCGGTGCCTTCGGCACTTCCAGCCTTGATGATAATCATCAAGAATTGGCCGGCTCGCCGCCTCAGAGGTCACCGAGTAAAATACGACGGGACATTCTTTATGCTTTCAGCTACCTTGTTTCTCTCGTTTTATTACCCTATAATAAAACCATATTAACGGCATCTAGTCGACTGCCTGTAACATCCTTTTAACAAGAAAATCCATTTCGTCCTACTAGAGTTTGTTTAATTGGAAATGAGGAAGAAAGCGGAAATAGAAAAATCTGACTATTTTAGGTCCTAAAATCTGCCAATTTTCAGTTAGTTTTTTTTTTAGTATACAACATTTCACCAAANCAAAATCCTGCATTATTTTCCGGACAACCCAATACAAGCTCAAAGCTTTCTGCTTTTATAATGCCATCCTCAGGGCAGTTTTTTTTTTTGCTTTCTGTCCCCACATCTAACCACGGGGAAGTATTGCATATTAGAAGTGAGTTACAATTGTTAACTTACAAGGGAACGACCATGTTGGTGTGTCCGGAATTTGGACCAAACTTTTTTTTGGTGATCATGTACTCCAAAATATCAGATATTCTTGTGAATTGGATTTTGCCAAAAAATTTTGAAAGTTGATATTTTCCATTTTTAAATATTTCTATTTTGCCGTTCTATTTGCTCAAATCAATTATATGAATATATCGTACAAAATTTTCTGTGTAAATTGCAATAAACATATAGTAAATGCTATCGAAGCTTATCAATTTCTAAAAACCAAATATTTTTCAAGTAAACTGTCATAATTTTTTTTTCCTTGGAACTAACATGAAATTTCAGCACCTGTAGAAATCCCTAAATTTGAATTATTGTTAAAAAATATATCTTTTTTTGACCCATACAATTTTTCTGATTTTTAAAAAGTCATCATTGGATTATCTGATTGAAACGGCTATAATTCAAAAACTGGTAAAGGGATTTTTAAGGTGGAAAGGTCCATTTGAAAAAAAGAGAAATGTTGCTTTTTAACGACGTATGTACCATTAAAATATATAAAATATTTCTATAAGAAAATGAGAAAATTATTAGGCAGAAATTTTTTGACACAGTTATAAAATGCACTTGTCAATTTCTTTAAAACTAATTATCAACCATGAAAATCAGTCAACTAGGTTTTTGAAAACCCAATTAACCCGTAATTAACATTTTTAGGAAACGAACAAAGAGACGATAAGACATGGTAAAAAGAAAAGAATGAGAATGGGAGGTGGACGAGGGAAGAGGAAACAGAAGCATGGTTCAGCCAGAAGATATTTTGAAAAACAGTTTTTAGTGCAAAATCGAACATTAGCACTACTTGGTATTTTTTTTTTCTTATTAATTATAATTAGCCCAGAACAGAATGTTTAACAAAATATTTTCAGGTGATGAGGTACAGAGGATACTTCACAGTACGACGAAAACCTTCAGCCGGGAATCACCCCGGCCAGTACGCCCTGTGCTGAAAAGCTCGTCCCATTTTTACCCAGAGCGTAAGAACAGCTCTCAAAGAAAATTCAAAAATGTCACCAGGAGAGTAAAAAATCAGAACCGACCTGGGACTGGGCACAATAAAGGGATGAAACTATTAAATACGCTGAATACAAACAGCAGTCAAGCTGAAGAAGACGAAGAAGAACGGTTCAAAGAGCCTTTGGACGTCGTTCAATTTGATAAAGAGGAATACGACCTGGACATTTCTTCTTTAAAAGACGATGTACAGTTCAACCTCAATAACGCTCTTGTACACATCATATCTGCCATTGAAAACTTCACATCAGTCCATTCTGAAGGAATGACACCATGTGATAGGGTAACTTTTTATTTTTTACATTTTCCGCTAGCTAGGGTCTTTTCTTGATTATTGTCACTTGGTTACTTATTAAGCATACAATATACATCTTAAGAAAAATATATTTATGTAGTTTTCTTGTTTCCAATCATTTTGGCCTGAAAGATGATGAGAAGCCTAAATATGTTTGACAGGCCAAAATAATTCATCACCTCACAGGAAGTATTAAAATATAAGTATAATTTAAAACATTTCAGCTGGCTGATTGTAGACAGGAGCTTCAAGGTATATTTTTAGGCCCATTGCCGGACTGCCCTTGTAATTACCCTACGGGTATATTTTATGAAAACAGGATTTGGGACCAAACTCAAAACAAGTCAGTTTTTAAAAAATTCTTTAACCTATTATGAAAAATAAATTAAATAATTTTCAGATTTTTTTACTGGAAAGATGCAAGCAATGAGCGTTTGGATATTTACAAACTTGGAGCTGAATATTGCATCAGGTCACAGATTGACCACGGAAGCACTTCACTTTCAGCGCAGCATTGCTGTTATGACAGGTATATTAAAAATAGCATTAAAAAAAATTGTACGTAAAGAATTATTATATCAGGGACCGAAAGTTGATAACACGTGGTTCGGGTGCAGGAAGTCCGAATTACATCTCGCCCGACGTCTCTGTCGTGTTGCACGACAAAATCGACATCCTACCTTGGAGGCTTTGCAAAGGGGATTTCACCAGGTACAAAATGCGCTTACGCTTTTCTCTTTTTGTGCTATTGTGCATTTTTTTTCAGGTTTAATAAAGTACGGCCTCCTAACAACGGTAAGTTGTGCGAAGAGAATCCAAGCGAGCCAGAGTTCAACAAGCAGGTCCAGATTACCATTTCATACTAACTACAAGCCAAAATTAGTTTCGTACAAAGTTTTGAATATAAAGTTACCTTTGAAAATTTTTAAAACTGTAAATATTTTTTTTATTTGTACAAAAATATATGAATATTTATTAAAATTTGCTGTTTTTGATACATTTAATCAATCTTAGATATATCATTATAAAAATTTTTATTTTTTTAGTTTTTTCATTCCTCTTCTCTAACCGTACAATCCTAGGTTTTCTTTTTATTTTCCTTTTTAAGTGCTTTTATGAGAGGATTTTTTTTTCAGAAAAAGGTATTTTTCCAGCCCTCATTCAAGTAGCCATCCACAAGTAAGTGTTTTATGGTGCCTGGCATTATCCGGCATTAGCAAGAACCTGAACCTCTCACTGATGTGGGGGGCAAATGGCACACTGTGTTGTTTTTTTACACTTTCTTCATTTTCATTTTGTCCTTTTAAGGTACTCACTGAAGATGGTAAAAGCATACATTCGCAATCTACTTATTTTAATAAGTGCACAATTAAACAATTACAAAAATATAATTACAATTTTATAATCCTTTCTTGATAGAGGAAAATATTTAGGGGAGTTTTTATAAAAAGTCAAAAATATATTGGGTTGTCCGGAAAATAATGCAGGATTTTAAGTTTTCATTAAAAAAAATCTATATAAAATATTCTGTTTACGTTTACAGGATTACTCATTTGTATGAATNGGAAATTATTTTGATTAAAGAACATTGCTTTAAAGTAACTAGTTTCTTTTTTTTTGTTTAATACCAAAATCCTGCATTATTTTCCGGACAACCCAATAGAAGAAAAATATTATATTATGCTTTTTAAAAAAAATTATAAATAACATTTTATAAAAATTTCATAGTCCTACTAGTTGAACACAACAATTATCTATACAATATTTACACAACATTATTAAAATGTATTTTGAACACAAATGTTTATTTCAAGAGTAGCAGTCTTATCATTTTAATTGTGCATCAACGAAAAATTACTGATTTATAACGATATCAATCAAATCAGTTGATTTAATATAAATGTAAACAGGCGGAAAAGTGAGTATTAATTAAATTATCACATTTGTTTACCTTAAAAACTATTTACTTATACGCTAAAATATTCTAGGCACTTTGTCACATATTTACAAAATTGGGTTCAAAATTGATAAAACATAAAGAGTGAAAAAACTAAGCATTTCTAACAATACTTAACAATTAAAATATTACAAAATATCACATTTGGCATTGGTCTAGTAATTGAATCGAATTTTACATGGCAGTTTCTAAAGGTTGACTTTTACTCAAGGGCTGGAATGACCTCATATCCTGAGGGGTGTAATGGTTGTCGAAACTCGTCTCAAGGAGGTTCTCCGACTGCGTCCTTGTAGGAGGCGCAGGAGGCAGAGAATCGTCCAGGTTCGTCTCGAGAATAGCTGAACTCTTCGGCCTTTCGTAAAATACCTGAAAACAAATCAACGATGAATTTCGCTCTTTGTTGAGTTTTGCGCGAAATATTCACCTGATAATCCGGCTCTCGTTGATAATTGGACTTATTTATAATATCGACAGTCGAGTCTGTCATCGCTAAGCTAGTGTTTAAAGGCAATGTCGATGAGTTATTCAAATAATCATCGGTCGACTGCCATGTGCTGTTCTCTTGAGATGCAAATGTTGAATTATCTCTAAAGCCTGAAAATTGAAAAAAAATTATTAATTAATGAAAAAACACTATGTTTATGCAAACGATTTTATCTATTTTGTATTAAAAACTCTGGGATAAGGACAATTTAAAAGAAAAGAAAACTCAGTATTTTTTTTTTCCAAGCTTTTGAGGAATAAAGTCCACTTCATCAAGACTTTCTGTAAGATCTGTATTAATATGAATTAAAGTAAATAAATTGGAGTAATTGTTACAATAAAGAAATAGTTTATAAAGAATTTTGGAAGAAACTTTTATTTTTGGTAGGTTGTAAACGGCAAAAAGGTTCAAAGGAGCGTTTCAAAAAACCTGGAGGTGTGAAAAAAATTTGACTGACGAGGAGTCCTGAGCCAAGGAGAGGGGAGACACAAAGGATGGGTATGATTTGACTGACAAGGAGAGTCGAGACCCGAGTAATGGACAGAGATGAATAGACTGACATGGAAATCCTGAAGCAAAGAAAATTGAGACCTGATTAAAAGACGGATACGATTCGACTGACGAGGAGAGTCCTGAGACAAGGAGAGGTGAGACCCGAGTAAAGGACAGAGATGAATTGAATGACGAGGAAAGTCCCAAAGCAATGAGCGTCGAGATCTGAGTAAGAGCAGCGATGAATCGACTGACATGGAAGTCCCGAAGCAAAGAAAATTGAGACCTGATTAAAAGACGGTGTTTACACCAACTGTACATATGTACATTGATCGTACTCTTAATCACACAAGCAGCTGTTTTTCCTTTGATCTCCTCCGCTTACACGAGCCAATCTCACTTCTCATGTAATTCTTTTACGATCCACTCACTCCTCCTATTCTCTCTGGCGTTTTCGGTATTTAAAGGTGTGCCAGTGATTTAAATGTTTTTTTGGTTCAACCCGAAATTAATATAAGAAATATATAAGAAAATTAGCCGAAGCTAATAACACACCAGAGACTACAACGGACTCGGGCCCGAAGTTGCGTCGCCGCTGTGAATTCGACAGGTTTCAGCAAGGTGAGTTTCCAGGCATTATTTTCAGGTGAATGGTTTTATTTAATGTTATTTCATTTAATTTGAAACATTGGCTCACTTTAATTTTCTCATTTATTTTGGTTAAATTTGATTTTTTATTATTTAATTTTCTTAAGAAATTATTATTTTTTTTCTTCTTCTTTTCGAATCCTTTATATCAAACGATTAAACAGACGGATACGAATCGACTGACGAGGAAAGTCCCGAAGCAATGAGTCAAGACCTGAGTAAAGGACAGAGATGAATCGAATGACAAGGAAGTCCTGAAGCAAAGAAAATTGAGACCTGATTAAAAGATGGATATGATTCGACTGACGAGGAGAGTCCTGAGACAAGGAGAGGTGAGACCCAATTAAAGGACAAAGATGAATCGAATGACAAGGAAAGTCGTGAAGCAATGAGAGTCGAGACCTGAGTAAGGGCACATGGAGAGTACCAAAGTAGAGATGATTCCACTGATGAGGAGAGTCCTGATACCAAGAGGAGTAAAGAATCAAGGTGTAAAGGTAAAAAAGGAGACACGTATTGAAGAGAGTTTCAAGGCAAGAAAAGTTGGGATCTGAATAAAGGCAAACTGACAAGCAATCAAATTTTCTTTCATATGTACACCTTATCCCTGATTTTTTAAAATAAATCATGATTTTAAAGACTGATAATATATGATAATTATATCAAGATGATTTTGTCAATGTTGACGATAAATAAAATAGCAAATAGATCGAAAATTTGTGTCAAAATACCTTGGTTTCGGAATGAGAGATCAAAACCAGGATTAATGGCTTCAGTTGTAGTTGGATTATGTGCTTCGTAAATGTCGTAACTCTGTGTATCTTCGTTTGATGAATTAAACTGGGATTTTTCAATACTGTCGACGCTACCTGACATTTTTTTGTACTCACTGTTTTTGTTAAGCGTCGGAGAAGACTGTGTGCTCTAAAAGTGAACAGCGTGATTAGGCATTGTAAATGTGTTAAGTTTGCGTCTGCTTACAGTTGCTACGCCGTTCCTTCTGTTGTACATGTCGCTGAAGGCGTGCGATGAGCCGAACGATCGAACCGAGTGCAAGGACTGTCTGATGCTGTTTCTCCGTTCCAACCTTTCCAGGTGTCTATGCCTTGATTTTGTGAACCAAAACGCGATCAACAATCCAATCAGAAGCAAAGCGAGGCAAACAAACCCAATAAGTGCAATAACCAAAACGTCCGCTCTCCAACTCAAAGGGTTAATGACAACTTTCGGATCTAAAATTATTACATAAAAAACATATTAAAAAAAGACTTAAATAAGTAATAAACTTGATAGTTACCCATCTCGCAGACAAACGGGCTCAGTCTGTTGCAATAGTCGATTTCAATTTTTTGAAATGAGAAAACAGTGCACTGATGAATTCGATCTATGTGCTGAACCCATACTCGGTCGTAGAACTGATAAGTCTCCTGAGATTTTTTCAAGAATTTATACAATTCTAAATGATTACCCATGACATAAGGCATTGTAGCATTATTCGCCTAAGAAAAATAATTTTAAATAATTAAATCGGATAGTTTTCAAGTGTTTGTCTAATATAAAATAAATTCTTACTCGACAGAATTCTCTCGCTTCAAAAAAATTCATAGGTGCGCCGATATATATATAGCAAGTGTCGCCGACTAAAAACCATCCAGGGGGACATTTTACATCCAAAATTGTCGAATTGCTCATGAGGAAAGGCCTAAAATCAACTTCAAGCAGGTTTGCTTGATCGCTCCTGTCTCTTATCCTCCCCATGACTGCGAGCGTTTCATTATAACCCCAATAATTATGCTTCGCATCGATAGGTGTTTGCCAAACATCAATTCTAAACAAAAATGTAAATATAATAAAAAATAAATATTATGAATAATACAATTAATTAAGGTTTTTAGTTGAGATAAAAAAAGTCAATGGCACGAGCGGGATTCGAACCCATGATCTTCGGCTTGATACGCTGCTGCTCTACCACTTGAGCTATCGTGTCCTCGATCCACTTGGACACTACTTCCTACCTCAACCACACCTTTTGAATTTCCCTCCTTTTTGCCATTTTTCAAATGTCGTGCAACTTATTTGATTCTCGGCGACAAATGAAATGGCCACGGAGAGCTTTAGCGAAGTATACTTCATTTTAAACTTATTAAATTCACCAGTTTCAGGGTCCGCTTGGCAAATTAATATATTACAATTAATTAAGGTTTTTAGTTAAGATAAAAAAGTCAATGGCACGAGCGGGATTTGAACCCATGAACCTTTTTTATCTTAACTAAAAACCTTAATTAATTGTAATATATTAATTGGTCAAGCAGACCACGAAATTAGTGACTTATGAATAATAAAAAAACATACAGGGATCTGTTAACTGTAACGATTTCATAATCGTTGTCAGGGTTGAAGAAAATATTATCGACATAGTGTTGTCCAGCTGTTCCAGCAGTAATTGTACTACGCCTGTCTCTATCAACAGCAAGATTCCTAAAATAAATTAAAACGTGTTTAATTAAAAAAAAAAGTAAAACAGCAAGGTAATAACATACCAGTAGAAACCGTTATGAGTTGTACTCTGATATATCGGCAGCCGCACCCTCTCAAATCCTGACACCTCAAGAATATTTGCACCGATATTCTCATAAAGGTAATTATAGGTGAAGTTTGAAACGACCTATTTGTATTAAAGTATAAATATAAAACATCATAAAAAGGGATTTTAACTGAAGCTTACTTGTTGCAGCCTGATTGTGTTTTCGTATCTGGCTTTGTTTCTAGACCAGAAGTTGTTGTAAATGGTGACCTGTTGATACGGGCTACTCTGTCGGCCCTCGACTGAAAGAGCCGGGCGATTTTTGTTTCTAGTGAACAAATTATTATGTATCCAGCCTTTCAAAGACGTAGCCGAACCCCTCGAGTCGGACCTTATAAAAACTCCGCCTTGATTGTTCTGGACAAGGTTGTTCTAAAACATCAAAAGTTAATATTTTAAATTTTAATGCAATGTTATAATAATCATACTCTGAAATGAAGATTTTGCGTGTTTTGAAGATCCATATAGATTCCGGATTTACAGGATGTGAAGTTTCCATACATTTTTATGCAGTTGTCCCTCAGCTGGTTTTTCTCTATAGTTATCCTAGGATTGACTTCACCTACACTACTGTAATGTATGGCGCCACCTTTGTTTTGAGATATTACAGAGAAAGAAATATTATGCTGGACATCTCGATCTATAACGGAAAAATATTGTTGAAAAATAATCGAATTAAAAAAAACCCAAAAACTAATACATACTAAATCCAATGGCTGATATCGGCAATGTTACAACTTCAGCAATAAAACCGTATTTTTGAGAAGCGGCACTGGCCACGAGATGTACGCTCATCCTTGGGCTCAGCGTTTTGACAAATTTTTTCTCACTTCCGATCGGCGAGTATGAACTGAATGATGTTATATGTTTCACGGAATGGTTGTACAGGCCGCCGTCGAAGAGGTCCAGGTGGTCAGTCGAATTGTACAAGTTGAACTGAAGTAGTCTAAACCCGAAAGGTTTAATTTGATAGGCGCTGTAAAATATCTTAACACAGTTGACCGGCCTGTTGTCGTAAATGTAATAGAGAATAAGCCTTTCTTGGACGATTATTTCTTTTGAAGGATCACACATGTCGACCAAACTGAAAACTTTGTAAGGCAGGAGTATTTCCTTCAAAGGTGTAAAAGAGCTTTCCCCACTTTCTCTTCCTTCGCCAGTAATCGAAGCGATATTTACTCCGACTCCAAGATTGTTTGTTATTCTTATAAAAATAAAATAAAATTGATTCAATATTTAACAAAAATATATTAAAATTAAATTTACCCATTGAACAAAAGCTTGACATTGTCCGTAGGAGCAATAAGAGATATACCGTGGTCTGCACAGTCTGTTATATTGACATTGTTTATTGTCGGTGATTTGGAAACGGCGAGTATGGCTGGTGATTTTTGACTATGCAAGAGTCCTGCACCAGTTATATTCACAAATTCCATAATACTTTCTTGTTTCATCAACGTACTGTGCGTAACAACATCATGAATCCTATTTTCAAATTGGCTCTGTTCAAAATCTGCATTTGCAAATCTATAAAAAAAAATTCACAAGTTGGATTCATGTTTCCATAAAAATTTATCAAATTGAAGCTGTGAAATCATTAGGACATCCTAATATCAAATATCTCAATTTAAAGGCATATAAATTTGAAAAAAGATTGTAAATGGTCTTATCCCTTAACAAACTGCCAAAAACAATGGATTAAAAATAAGTCCTCTCATTCAATTTCAATGGAAATGTAGCCTGGGATAGATAAAAAAAATTATCTAATGACCATCACAGAAATTAATGGCAAAACTACTCCTAGAACAAGCTAGGAATAGAATAATAGTTGGACTGTTGACTGGACAGTGCAGACTGGAGGAATACGTATAGACTCAGAGTGGCAGAAAAAGAACCTGTTTAGATATTGCCAAGAGGAAGAAGAAACAGCGGAACATGTCCTCTGTTGGTGCAAAGGCCTAAAGGTGGCCATTCACGGTCGCTCCAAATGGAACCGCACCAAGCCGTATAGCTCCATTTGGAGTGTCTGAAATTTGAGGGGGCATTTACAAGCTCTAGTGAATTACCTTCTCAAAATGGATGACGAGCTCTTGTGCTGTTTATATATTAAAAGCAAAAAACCGAAGAGGAAATGGTGTAAGAAGTGGCTCCTGAACAGAAGCTGTAATACCCACATCAATTTGATGAAAGATCTTTCCCTTGAACCCGCTGATGGGACGAACTATTTAAGGATGGATGAAACGTCTTATTTATTCATTATATTTAGTGTTCTATTGACCAAATTACTTATTTCAATTATTTAATCTTTTTTTGTAAAGTATTGGTTGAAATAAAAAAGCTAATGCCACGAGTGGGATTCGAACCCACGACCTTTGGCTAAATACGCTGCTGCTCTACCACTTGAGCTATCGTGACTGACAAAAAAAAGATTAACGTCTTATTTATATTTACTCCAGCTTGTTACCCCTCCTTGATTGGAAAACAAAAGACATTCATGAGAGAAATCATCACTCTACATGAAAAGTTGGCAGCCACATTTCGTTTTGTCGGTACAGGGATGAACCACGAAGGATTTTAAGTTCTCTACTACAATTTCTGCTCAGAGCTTAGTGGTTATTAATACCGCATCTCTCATTGCATTTGTATCCTTTGTTTTGAAAATGTCGACCAACTGGTTGAGGACCGAATTTCTTTTATTTCTATCGTGGTAATTATTGTCCACCACTTTCCATAAACATAGTAAATTTTCGTACTATTTATGGCGGCGAACTTTCAAATTGTCGCCAAACCCTACTGCTCGAATATCCCATTGTTCAATGCGAGACAATTGGAAAAGGAAGAGGCTCTATGAGGAATGGTGGGGGAGTCGGGTTTCGAGCGAGAAACGGAAAGGACGAAAGAAGTAAGAGTCTGCGCAAACCAGAAAAGAAGAAGTGTGCTAATTATTTTTTTACATCGTACGTACGAATTATAATTTTTTCAATATTTTATGAGCTCATAGTTTTGGCCAAAAGAGGATTAGTTTATATTTTTATTATTTTATTTTGTATATAAACTGAGGTTACCTTTTTTTAAAAGTTAATTAAATATATTTGAGTTTATGAGAAGGAAAGTATTTGTTTATTATTTTTCAATTATAGTAAAGTATTTGTTTATTTTTTTATTTTTTTAATTATGGAAAGAATTATTTAATAAATAGTATTATAGTGGAATTTATTTAATTTAATTTACCCTAACATTACAAATTCAATCACCTCAACAATAAAATCTCAATTAGATCTTTTTGCCAATAAAGAAAAAAACATTTTTCACTTTTTGAGAACGTAGGACGGAGATGTTTGCTCAGTGACAGAAAGACGGAGACTGCGCCAAAAAACGCGGGTTTTCCCATTCACGACCAAGCCAGCACTCCAATATTCCACCGTTCACGCCAGGTTTTCCCATTCACGAACGCACCATGCCGTCGTCGCACTGTAGATATTTAGAGTGGCGCGATGGAGTTTGGACCGGTGGAATATTCGGCACTGCTGGGCACGCCATCTCAGTTTTGCCATCGACGTGGTTTTTGGAATGGCGTCGCTCTGTTTGGACTGCTTGGAGCGATCGTGAATGGCCACCTTAAGAAGGCTGAGATTCCTAATCTTGGGAGAAGAAAAGCCAGGGCTTGAAGGATACACACGGGAGCCCTAGGAAAAGCTTTGGGGTCTGGTAAAATGCCTTAAACTTAAAGAGGAGCTCTAGATTAAAAAAAAAATGGAGATGCATAATAGACTAATGCTGATCACAGTGAGCAGATTGTAAAGAGGCCAGCTTCTATATTATCTAATCTAATAGGTCTTATCCCTCATCCCTAACAAAAATTTCTTTAGTCTCTCAAACAAGAATAAGTAGAGAAAAAATATGAGAAAAATTACTTTATTATAGCTTAAGAAATAAAATGAAACTAACCTGATTCCACCCCATTGGTTATTTTCAACGATTGGCTTTCCACAATGAACAAAGACAAACTGACTGTCCCAGTCGCAGCGGTGTATATGGCCATAAACCTGTCCATTTAGCCTTATCTCACAATCCTCCAGTCTGCTTTCATCTCCTACAAATAAAACAGAATTAAATAATAAACAGCATAATTTTTCAGAATTTCTCGCTTTAGACATACCTGTACATTGCAACGGTTCGTGCCAAGACCAGATCCTCGACGTGTCACTATGATGCAGCTCGTACCTTCTATCATGACCGACATAAATGTCAAGACTGTCCCGCATTAACTGGCGGCAAGTCACCTGGGCGTTTCTTTCTGAGAAACGCTCGTCGCAAACTGGAACCCACTGTTGTGTCGTCGAGTTCCACCTTTCTACAAATCCTTCATTACCAGTGCAATTGGTAGCAGTGCATAAACGCACAGTTCTGATTAAAAAAAAAAAATTATTGGCGTTAAATAAACAATCAATAGGTAGAAATAAAACTCACTGCTCCATGTATGGTAAGCTTTGATTCTTTTTACGACTCCTTGTGGGTTTCATTACGATTTCCTTTCCTCCTAATCCTTGTGCTGAGAATGTTCCTAACACAAGAATGCCAACCCTAGGCGAAAACTCCAACGTAACACCAGGATTTATTCTCAGGTTGATACCAGGAAGAACGGTAATGTCAGATATGACTAAATAAGGTTTTGGACGAGGGAAAAGCGTCAAGGAAGATGTCAATCTTCCACCCAAGACTTCTAAATCAACAGGATGCTGCTGCTCCCATCCAACCTGACATATTAAAACAAATTAATAAAACAAAAAATAAAAAAATAGAACAGATAGTTTACCGATAGAGAACCCTCAAAAGCATCTTCAACCAAAAATGGATGGTAAATAGCAAGTGCATGATCGTTCCAGTCATCAAAATCAAAGATGTGCTGTTTTATCATCAATGAATCTTTTGTTCCCCACCAGTTTTCGGAAACATCAAGGGAAGACTCGAGCCTCGATGTCCTTACTCCGGCCACCAGCGAATAATCCATGTTGTTTTCTGATATCAAGTTTCTTTTAACTCTCACTCTTTGAATCCCATCGAATAATATAACACCAGAAGGAGTCTGTAATAAATTCAATAAATAAAACAAATATATTTTTAAAAAAAATTTATTACTTACTTCTGGAGTTGGTGCACGATTTTTTTTAACTGAATTGAAGACAAATTTGGCCTTTAGTTCGCCCATGATTTCAGACTGACTGTCAGCTTTGAACTGCAACATGAACACGCCGACGTTCTTTTCGATGATATTATTCGATATTTTCATACGTTTTTCCATCCCTTGTATCGATATCAATCCGATCTTGCAGATATTTTCGACAAACTCGCTGTTCGTTATGTTTACGTCGGAAAAATGCCCGCCGACAATTATGCCAAACTGTCTGTTGTTCCTCCAGGTGTTGTTTCTCAATGACACAGAATGGGTGAAATTTTCATTGTAGTCCCAGACGTACGGAAGGAGAATTTCAAACCCCCCGTAGGAATTTCTCTCGATGGAGTTGTCGTTTAAATTCCAGTGAAAGAGATTTGTAGAATTTCTGAGATCTCTGTTTAAAAAAATAAATAAAAAAGTTTTATGAGTTTCTTCATTTAAGATTAAGAAAGACATATTGTAATTTTACTTGTTTAATAGTTCATTAAAGTTATTTACCTTTTACCTCTTTGCATAGCAAACGGACAAAAAGTTAAAAGCTACATTTCTCTTTCTTGTTCTATTTTTTTCTATGTGAATTTTTGACTTACCTACTGTACTGATAAAAGCCTCTCCCATTGTCAGTTATGAGTGAATTATTAAAAACCAGCGTAATTTCACTCAGATTGGAATGCGTGATGCTCCAATACGGCGCATCGATGAAAACAGCTTCTCTCTCGTTGTGAGATATGTCACACCCTATCACTTGAATCGTTTCATTACTCTTTCTCAAATAATGCTCACCGAGTTCCGTAAGGTATCTGAAAATGTGTATTTTATTAACATTAAAGGAAAATATTCTATATTAATATAAATAGGTTTTTAGTTGAGATAGAAAAGTCAGTGTCAAGAGCGGGATTCGAACCCACAACCTTCGGCTGAATATGCCGCTACTCTACCACTTGAGCTATCGTGAATTCGATCCACTCGGACACTAACTTGCTATCTCAACCCGACCTTTTGAATTTTCTTTTTTGCCATTTTTCAAATGTCGTGTAATCAGATTGGATTCTCGACGACAAATGAAATGGCCACGGAGAGCTTTAGTGAAGTGTACTTCAATTTTAAATCATTAAATTCACTAATTTCGTGGTCTGCTTGACCAATTAATATATTACAATTAATTAAGGTTTTTAGTTGAGATAGAAAAGTCATTGTCACGAGCGGGATTTGAACCCACGACCTTCGGGTCAATACACCGCTGCTCTACCACTTGAGCTATGGTGACTTCGATCCACTCGGACACTAACTTCCCATCTCGACCCCACCTTTTGAATTTTCCTCCTTTTTGCCATTTTTCAAATGTCGTGTAATGTATTTTATTCTCGGCGACAAATGAAATGGACACGGAGAGCTTTAGTGAAGTATACTTCATTTTAATTAATTAAATTCACTATTTTTCGTGGTCCGCTTGACCAATTAATATCATTCAATTTATTAAGGTTTTTAGTTGAGGTAAAAAGTCAGTGTCACGAGCGGGATTCGAAGGGGAAAATCAAAAGGTAGGGTTGAGATGGGAAGTTACTGCCCGAGTGGATCGAAGACATGATAGCTCACTGGTAGAGCAGTGGTGTATCAAGCCGAAGGTCGTGGGTTCGAATCCCGCTCATGACACTGACTTTTTTATCTCAGCTAAAAACCTTAATTAATTGAATGATATTAATGGTCAAGCGGACCACGAAAACTAGTGAATTTAGTAGATTTAACTTTATGAGGACAATTTTTTCTAAAATTGAAACTATGAAAAAATAATTAAGAGATAGTTTAATTTTTCATTTGTGTATCCACTTTTTATATAATATAATAGAATAACAGTTGAGCATATTTTACAGCAGAGAACTAGAAGCCTGAGGAATGAACTACAATGGTACACTTAGGGCTATCAGAGTTTTAAAACTATATAGTATTTTTTTAAAATGGTTTTATGAGTATGCATATTAGCTATAGTTCGATTCCATTGATTATTTCATCATAATATGGGGGAAGTATTGTGTGAAAAAAGGGCTGGGGCGAAGGTACGAATCGAACCCATGACAGTGGGATCTAAATGTAAATAATTAGTGTGAATAACTAGCCCCAACCCTGAGGAATAACGAGTATTCTGACGCGAGAATGTAATGTCTGTAGATTAAAAGTAATTTATTAGTGTGAATGAGGATTTAAACTTGCCATCTTGCAGCAACAATGAAAGAGTTTTGAAGATAAGAAAACTGGACAAAAATAGGATAAAATTGGTGAGGGGAAAAAACGCAGAATTTTCGGTTACATGCCTGGAGGGCTGGTGATGACCTCTACATTTTTGTTGGCCCACAAATAATATATGTACTATTTACACCATAGAGAGAGAGAGATAGAAAAAAAAGTTTTGTTACCTATTATAAAATGATGCCCAAATTCCTCGTTGATTTCCTTTAATCCTTGTGTTATGAACGGTTAAAGTCGGCACTGGGCCTTTAATTATTTTATTAACCAAAACTTGCTTTGGAGCTATAAAATATAAAATAAATAAATATATTTTATAGAAATTCGTGCGGATTTCTTTATTTACCTCTTATTGTTGAAACTGCTATAACTGTCATACCGAAGGCATCAATTCCGCTTCGGTATTGAAGGACAACACCGTATGATGCCGAAGTCGTTGGAAAAATGTTTATGTCCCTTTTTACATTCCAATTCTCCGATTGGGAGGTCAATTCAGGAGAATCGTGAATCCAGATTTCTTCTGTACTCCTGTTGTGAATCGGGTTCAATAAATTCAAACCAATAACGAAGCCCGGCTTGCACTAAAATATAAAAAAACGACAGTTTCTATAATTCACGATATAAATTATTATTGTATAATTTACCTTGATGTAATAGGTACTTTCGATTGAATCTTGAGTCACTTTCTGAGTAATGATGTATTTTGTGTTTCCTTCTTCTATTTCAATGGTGTGCGAAGCTTGAGGGATCATGATTGGATCGTAAGGAGAGAACTGCGACGTAACATCTGTGAGCGGTTTGAACCACCCTGCAAATTCTCTCTGCTCTAAATTAGTCATAGTCGGATTATGCCGTATTCCACTGATTTTGTTGTTTTCAATTTTACTTCCTAAAAACGCATATTTATTACAAACATCAGATTATATATAGATTCACTAATTTCGTGGTCTGCTCGACCAATTAATATATTACAATTATTAAGGTTTTTAGTTGAGATAAAAAAGTCAATGGCACGAGCGGGATTCGAACCCACGATCTTCGGCTAGATACACCGCTGTTCTACCACTTGAGCTATCGTGACCTCGATCCACTCGGACACTAACTTCCCATCTCAACCCCACCTTTTGAATTTTCCCTCCTTTTTGCCATTTTTCACTAAAGCTCTCCGTGGCCATTTCATTTGTTGCCGAGAATCCAATCCATTACACAACATTTTGAAAAATGGCAAAAAGGAGGGAAAATTCAAAAGGTGGGGTTGAGATGGGAAGTTAGTGTCTGAGTAGATTGAGGTCATGATAGCTCAAGTGGTAGAGCAGCGGCGTATCTAGCCGAAGATCGTGGGTTCGAATCCCGCTCGTGCCATTGACTTTTTTTTCTCAACTAAAAACCTTAATTAATTGTATTATATATAGAGTTAAAACATACCTGAGATCCTCAAGCCTAATTGCTTAAAACCAACACCGCTGCCTTTATTGTTGCTGAACTCGCAATTTTTAACTGTGTTTGAACCTCCTGTAGAATATATATCGGAGTAGACGATCCCAAGACCGTCATGGGCGTTGTCGATAAGCCTAACGTTTTCCATAGTGTGACGTGAAAAATCGATCTGAAGAGCTACATAGAAAGTAATTATGTACAAAATAATCATGGGTTGTTGAGTATTTCAGTCTTACCCGGTTTGAATTCGTTGGTACTGTAATCTAAAATTCCGGCTTGTTGTATTGTTATGTACTGAAGGTGACTGCGTTCGGCTAGCGGGCCCAATCTCACACCCGCCCAATGCGGAGGGTAGCATCTCATCAAAACATCTTGCAAATGTGTACACGCATTTTCAAAATCTGTTGTCCTTTGCAATTTGCATTCAGTAATATCAAAGTCATCGTCGCCACATTCAACATTTCTATATATACAAAAAAAAAAATTAAACTATTTTAAAAAAGTTATTTAATGATAAAACTTACGTTAGAAGAATAGGGTCGTTTGTTCCAGGGTGAGGAATATCGGATCTGTATAAAAGCCAGTCATTTGGATTTAGAATTAAACCGAGTTGATTACACACTAAAGATGCTGCTCTTTGTGTCCATCCGTAATTACAAACAGTTCCCCATTGACTGTTTATTTTAACCTATAATTATAATAAATATAAGATTCTGTGAATATATTTTCTTCTTATTAAATATATATTTATACACGGTGTTCGGCTACTCACATTACAAACTTTGTCAGTAGATTCTACACTCAAAATGGAACCAAAAAGTACTTATTAACTATGGTCCGAATCTCACCGGTTTTGGAGTTATTCCACTTTTTCTGATTATTTAAGATTTGACGACCTTGCTTCAAATAAACAATGATAACATCAAAACAAAATGGTTCTGGGCAAATCCGTACAAATACCATTGAAAACTACGTTAAATTTTCAATAAGATGTGATCAATACTAAATTTTTAAACGCTGGTGAAATAAGCATTTTAGTAACCATAACTTTGAAAAATAATAATTTTTTTCAATGTTGAAAAACTTACTACGGTGATTCTAAACTACTATACTCCAAACCAAGAGACTAGCAAATTTCAGAAAACATACTCCATTTAATATCGTTTTTAGTGGTGTAATTTCTTGTTTAAATACTTTTTTCAAAGATGAAGAAATTGATGAGGAAAGGAAAAAACTGTGTTTGACAAATTGGTAAGGGTGGAAAGATTAATAATAATAAACAAATAGCGAGAACATTGAAAAAAAAAAATTTTTTTTCAAAGTTAAAAAATGTACTATGGTGATTCTACACCACTATTTCCAAACCTAGAGAACAGGATAAAGAAATTGATGAAGAAAAGGAGAAAACCGTGATTGACAGATCGGTAAGTTGGAAAGATATTAAATAATAATAATAAAAAAAATAAAAAAATAGGGGCATCGGTAGCTACAAGGTTTAGTCTTTGACACGGAGCTCATCACTGTAAGGTAAAGGTCCCGGGTTCGAATCCAGCGGCCCTGCATTCCAACCCGACATACTTACAAATTACAATTAATTAAGGTTTTTAGATGAGATAAAAAAGTCAATGGCACGAGTGGGATTCCGAACCCACGATCTTCGGCTTGATACGCCGCTGCTCTACCACTTGAGCTATCGTGAGTTGGTGTCCGAGTGGATCGAGTTCACAATAGCTCAAGTGGTAGAGCAGCGGCGTATCAAGCCGAAGATCATGGGTTCGAATCCCGCTCGTGACACTGACTTTTTTATCTCAACTAAAAACCTTAATTAATTGTAATGTATTAATTGGTCAAGCGGACCATGAAATTAGTGAATTTAATACTTACATTTTTTTTTTTTAAACACCGGCACCCCAAGGGTTTATATGACCTCTACTGTGGCGAACCCTCGTAAAAAAAACACAAGGAAATTTTGAATGAATGAACTATAAACCCTTTGAATCTTAAAACTTTTATTCCTGGGAATAATAATACAATAATCCTTTAATCAAAATTGTATTTTTGTCAGTAAATACGTAAACCATTGCACTATTTCGGTTTCGAACCCAATTTAAAAAACGTTTAATAAATTCATTCAAAATTTTCTTAAGTTTTCATTTTTTACCAGGTTTTTACCTTTCCTTCATCAATTTCTTCATCTTTGAATAAAGAAATTACCACTAAAAGGGATATTAAATGGAGTAGTTTTCCGAAATTTGCTGGTCTCCAGGTTTGGAAATAGTAGTTTAAAATCACCATAGTAAGTTTTTCAACATTGTAAAAAAATTGTTTTTCAAAGTTCTGGCTACTAAAACTCTTATTTTCCCAAAGTTTACAAGTTTAGTATTGATCACATCTTATTGGAAATTTAACGTAGTTTTCACTGGTATCAATGGATTTGTCCAAAACCTTTTAGTTTTGGAGTTATTTAGAAGAACATTCTATATTCAAAAAGGAACCAAAAAGGTCCTAATTAACAGTGGTCAACAGTTTTGGTGTTATTTCGCTTGTTCTGTTTTTTTTTTGTTTTTTTTTTTGTTTTTTTTTTAAGATTTCACGACCTTGCTTCAAAAAAACAATGATTACTCCAAAACGTAAAAGTTTTGGATAAATCCGTACAAATACCATTGAAAACTACGTTAAATTTTCAATAAGATGTGATCAATACTAAATTTTTAAACGCTGGTGAAATAAGCGTTTTAGTTGTGACAACTTTGAAATTTTTTTTTAAGTTGAAAAACTTACTATGGTGATTCTAAACTACTATTTCCAAACCAAGAGACCAGCAAATTTCAGCAAACGTACTCCATTTAATATTCTTTTTAGTGGTGTAATTTTTTAAAAAATTACTTTTTTCAAAGATGAAGAAATTGATAGAGAGGAAAAACTGTTGGCTGACGGATTTGTAAGGTGGAAATTTAAAAAAAAAATTGTAAGGTAATTTTGAATGATTTTGTTACACTTTTTTTTAAAATTTGGATCTGAAACTGAAATAGTGCAAGTGTACTTATTTACCAAAACGACTGCAACTTTGAGTAAAGAATTATTGTATTATTAATCTCCAGAATAAAAGTTTTATTATTCAAAACATTTTTAGTTAGCTAAGTGATATCTTGTTAACACTAAAGATACTTTTTCTAATGAAGAATACGCTGATATCTTATATGTGGGTTTTGCGGGTTTAATGCAAGGCAGCGCACGGAAAATACATTGTGGAGGGTGGAGAGCATTTCAAATCAAAATTTAAAAAATGTTTAATAAATTCATTCAAAATTTTCTTAAATTTTTTATTATTATTAGTCTTTCCACCTTACCAATCCTTCAACTACGTTTTTTCCTTTCCTTCATCAATTTCTTCATCTTTAAAAAAAGTAATTAAAAGAGCAATTGCACCATTAAAAAGGATATTAAATGGAGTATGTTTGATGAAATTTGCTGGTTCCTAGGTTGGGAAATAGTAGTTTAAAATTAGTAAGTTTTTCATCCTTGAAAAAAAAATATTTTTCAAAGTTCTGGCTACTAAAATGCTTATTTCACAAATATTTACAAGTTTAGTGTTGATCACATCTTATTGGAAATTTAATGTAGTTTTCAACGGTATCAATGGATTTGTGCAAAACCTTTTGGTTTTGGTGTTATCATTGTTTATTTAAAGCAAGGTTGTGAAATCTTAAAAAATCAGAAAAAGTGGAATAACACCGAAACTGTTGAGATTCGGACCATAGTTAATTAGGACTTTTTGGTTCCATTTTGAATGTAGAATCTACTGTCAAAGTTTGTAACATGAGAAGCCCGACACCCTGTATAAAATAACTAGTATTTTACCTGAAGCGTTCCTTCGAATGAAGTTTTTCCGCCGATTAGTCTTACATTCGGCTCAGGTTTAGTTGGTGCAGGTGGTATGTAAGTTTCTCCGTCTAAATTATCAAGGAGTGTTGTGCTTTCTTCAATCTGAGGATCTTCTTTGAGCATAAGTAGTATATCATTGGGACCTTTTCCCCTAGCTTCTAGTTTCCCAGCGACCATCATCCCAACGCCGGGAGGAAATCTAAAAGTGTAGAAGTTAACGAGGCGTTTTGATTCGTCACTTTAAAAAACATACTTTAGAGTCACGCCTGGCTCCAACGTCAACCGGCCGCCAGGTCTGACATTAATGTCTCTCTCTACTATGTATTCACCGGCTCTGAGGTTTTCCAAACCATCGACTTCTCCACCGACTGTGCCAACTGGGCCTGAATTACTTGTAATAAACAGGGGAACGAATGTAGGAAAATAAATTACTGCACTAGCACCAGGATTACTCCTATGAAGAAGATACGGCAAATATAGAATTTTTGCTAAGTTGTAACGGTCTTTCCTAAAAAATAAATATATATTTTAACAAATAAATATTTTAATTATTAACATTGAATTACATAAGATATATGATAAACAGAATTATGATTTTTTTCCAGTAATAATTGCCAAAAAATTATACCTGTCAAAAATACGAGAAAATATTATTTTCTCTTCTGAAGAGCCGAGCCAATTGTATGTGCAGTTGAGCATTTTGCTTTGATCTTGCAAATGAGCACCGATTTCGTATTGCGAATCAGGATTTTGTATTATGTTTCTAAACACAATAACATTTTCGGAAGAAATCACCAACGGGGCTGCAACCCTGCTTCTTGGTATCAACGCCTTTGCTTCGACATCAGCTTGAAAATTAAAAAAGTTTTTAAGATTTTTTTAAATTTTAAACATGGATTTACAAGTTGAAACCAACTTACAATCAAATGGTTCTAATATTTTATTATCTTTGACGAAATTCCATGTAAAATGTATGCTATGTTGGTCAGAGTATGGTGAGAGGCCGAGGTTTACTACATAAACGCCTTGATTCTTATAAAATTCATTATTCCTTATTAATATATCGCTCGGGAGGGTGTCAAATGTTTCCAATGGGTCGTTTTTAATCAAAATTCCTCCGTAAACATTTTCAATAAATCTGTTGAACTCGATTATTGATTTTAAATTCACTGCGGGTCTGATTTTTATGCCCAATTTTCTGTTTTGTATGAAAATATTATGACCGATAAAGAGTTTCAAACTTTCGACGTTTTCTTTCCAGCAAGACTTCACTTCGATGGCTGTGTCCAAACTTAGGTTGAACCAATTTCCAGTGATGTTAACTATCGCGTCGCCACAAAAATTGCCCACTAAAATCCCCTTGTCAACGTTTTTAAATATCTCACTGTACTGGATAATGGTGTTGAAGTTGAACGCAGGATATTCTGGTGTTTCCATTGTATCGTTGAACCAAACCGCGACTCCACTTCCGATATTTGACGAAAGAGACGATTTACTTATATTAGTACATCCTCCCGTATAGGTGACATTTATACCATCACCAATATTAAACGAAATTCTAGATTCGGTCACATTGACATGACCTGCGCCATTTTTAACATGCACCCCTGCAACATGGTTGTTATGGGATATGGAAGTTCGGTACAAATACAGTCTGCTTCTGAGATTTTCCACAGCTACACCTCTTCCATTATTGTCAGATATGGTCGAATCTGTTATATTCACATCAACCCATTTATCTAAAAACAACCAAAGATTAAAATATTGATTGAGCCAAAGTCTATTAAGTACTTACCAAATCCTGAAGTGATTCTGATCAAAGCGTAAGTGTCTGTGAACGCTTTGGCCGAAAATGATATGTACACGTTGTTCTTTGTAGTCGTAACACTCTGAGGTTTAGTTGCGTTGTAAAGGGAAAATGAAGCGAGCGTGTTTTCACTAGACGAATAGCCATCATAAACAGTCACTTGAGAAGAGCCGTTCTCGTTAGTTTGAATCGGCAGGAAATTGATTGTCAATACATGGCCAGATTTTGTAAAAAAATGCTGAAAAGTGAACAAAGTAAATATAATTTTCCAGTTTGTTCATTAGTATTAATTTGGGTCAATAGTATAAATTTTTTTTGCAGATTGATACACAGTTATTTTTGAATAAGTCACTGGTTTTGTGATAATATAGTGAGATAACTTATCCTTAAGTGTTTGCTAATGGCTTTTTTTAAATTGAAACATTGACATGATAAAAAAAATGTTTTTCTGAACCTACATCATACAAGACCGCATCTCACGATCTCCAAATAATCATTAATTAATGATCACTAAACACCACACAGATTGTATAAATTAAAGTTGTCACAGTCATCCATGACATGACGTGAAAGCTTGACAACACCCTTAATTTGTAGTTTGTTGACCTGATCACCTGACAGCACGACGTAAGCAGACTGCACAAATTAATGTTGTCACCAAGCTTTCAAAATGTATGTTATCTTTCCATCATGGATGACATATATGTTGAAACCTTGGCAACAACTGAAATATCATTCATGATATGACATACATGTCAAAGACTTGGTGACAGCATTAATTTGTTTAGACTGTTGACCCTTATACATTCCACAGACTGTACAAATTAAAGTTGTCACATACATGATGTCATCCACGACATGACAAAAGCTTGGCAAAAACTTTAATTTGTACAGTCTATTGATCCTTATCCTCATCAGTAGACTGTACAAATTAAGGTTTTCACCAAAATTTCAAAACATATGTCATCCTGACATTATGAGTGACATATATGTCGAATTCTTGACAAAAACTTTATAGTCTGATAACCTGATGAGCAGACTACAAATTGAAGCTGTCAGAAAATAAAACGTGTTACACAACCTGACAAACTGATATAAGCAGACTGTACAAATCCTTTTTTTAAAAAGGATTGAACACCGCACTCACTCCATCATTCATCATTTCTATGTACAAATTAATGTTGTTACCAAGTTTCAACATATGTCTTCCAGCCATCATGGATGACATATATGTTCAATGCTTGGTAAAATTTTTAATCTAATACCGTCTGCTGATTCTTATGTGATCAGCAGTCAGTACAAATTAATGTTGTCACCAAAATTTCAACATATATGTCATCCCGTCATTATCAGTGACATATATGTCGAATACTTGACAAAAACTTTATAGTCTGATAACCTGATCAGCATACTACAAATTGAAGCTGTCAGAAAATAAAATGTGTTACACGATCTGACAAACTGATATAACCAGCCTGTACAAATTAATATCATCACCAAGCTTTCAACATAGGTCTTCCAGCCATCATGGATGACATATACATCGAATACTTGGCAAAAACTTTAATTTGTGGTGCAGTCTGCTGATTCTTATATGATCAGCAGTCAGTAAAAATTAATGTTGTCATCAAACTTTCAACATATATGTCATTCTTCCATCATTGATGAAATATATGCCGAAAGCATTTAATTTGAACATTCTGTGATCCTTATATGATCAGCAGACTATATAAATTAGTGTTGTCACCAAACTTACAACATACATGTCATCCTGCCATAATCTATGACGTATATGTTGAAAGCTTTGTAAAAACATTTGTAAAATACATAAAGCAGTAATTTTTATATCGAAATATATAAAAATGAATTAAAATGTGAAATTGTATTAAAATAAAACCTTGTTGCAATCCTTTTGGTTAGCACTGTAAACATTCTGTTGAAGGGCAACAATCAGTGGGAATGTTTGTGTAGTCGTTGTGGGCAATGTGCATAAGTCATAGACATTTTTTCTATTCGATATTCTATATTCATGTCCGAAATATCTGACACCGTCTCCATCATTTTCAGAGATTTGGCTGTTTTCGATATTCAGACCACCGTCAGAGCTATTAACAAATATGCCATAACCTGAAACATATAATTTTTTTTTGTAATTATGATTGCTATTTTAATTAGTTGTAGATTTTACCTCCGTTATTTGCTATTGTAGTGTTAGATATTGTTATAGGGCCAACTGGGTGGGTAATATTTATAGCGTTGTATGCACTGTTGAATATAGTGATGTTTGATATCTGAGGTGGCACTCCAATAACTTCAATAGAAGAACTAGCGTTATAATCACGACCTGATCCACCGGATCTGAAATAAATAAAAATTTAATAATATTATTCTAAATTTTTTTTTTAACAATGTGTTACCTTATGTCGACATAAGAGAGAGTTGAAGCTGAATATGGGACGTAAAATGTGTTGTCTTGGGTCAGGTATCTGTCGTACTTTGCATTTTCAAACCTCAACCCTCTCCAGTTATGACGGACGAGTCCAGGATCGTGTTGAGGAAAACACTGGATGGCTATGTCAGGATGATAATCTAAAACAAACGAATTGAAAAACAGTTTCGATCCTGAATATAAATTTATTTAAATGAAGTACCGCAAGTCGGTCCGCCCATTTGACGAAGATTCTTTTCGCATTCTTGCAACGTCGTTTCCGTACCGGTACAGTTGGGCAATATGAGCAGGCGGGGTTTTCTGCCTGATTCTCTGTCCATCCAACCGACCCAGCTGCCCCCGAGCCAGCCCATCTCTCGACAAATGACTTCAACATCTCGCACCGACCACCTGAGGAAAATTTATTAAATTTAAATAATTATTATAATTGATTAAATATCTAGAAGCTTGTTGGGAAAAAATGTATACCTTCTTGAATTAGAGCATACAGATCTCCACTTTCCATTGTGAAATGCTTGCAGCCTACCGGATAAAATGCTCGCGCCATCCACCAGCCTGTACTTCGTCGCTCTCGTAATGTTTTCAGCAGACTCCAAGCTCTGAAAGATAATCCTGTCTGTTGGAGTTCCCTGCAGAAAAAAAAATTATATATATTTGAAATGATTATGTATGAATAGATAATACATTATAAGAAGAACAATTGAGTTTTATTGTTTTACTTAAAATTTAGTGCTTTTTAGTTGAATAATTTCTATTTGCATAAAATACGTATTAGAGCAAAATTGAATGTTACGATCAAAAAACATTTGTTTTTGTGCTATCTAGACTAGATAAGATTAGGCCACTTGTGTCAGGAATGATCATTATTGATTTTTCTGTTCACCTGATGCCATATTGTAAAAAAAGGAACCAAGGGGGAAATTAAGTGCATCCCACGTCTCGTTGACCCCTAGTTTTCACCAGTGCAACATCCAATTAGCCAGTATCCCACGCCATCGTTAATAGCTCATGTTAAAAAGGACAAATTCAAGTAATTCCCAACCGGAATTGTGCAACAGAAAGAATTTGAAGGAAAGACTGGCAGAAATAAACCGAAGTTGATTAACGAAGAAATTTATCGGTTTTGTGATCGTAAAATTTATATTACACATTCGTCCGTTGCTATTTCAGTTTGAAAAGGACGGAAACGGAAGCGGCTGGAATCCGTCGACAACGCCCTTATGAAACTTTTGCCTTTTGGGTTCGACATACTCCTCACATAAAGGAAATACGTCATTCTCAACGGAATTATTTCAATTTCAACTTAGGAATCTAATAAACAATTAAAAATTCCTGCCGATTTCGAGCTTTTACCTCATCGACAGATTGAAGGAGTTCCACAACCTGATGATGAGCTAAAAGCTCGAAATCCGTTACGTTGGAAAACAACTTACTCTGAGTAGAAACTATCTTTATAAAATCGATTTAAGATTTACTTTTATTGTTCGTGTTTCTTCCTTAGTTCCTTTCCTTCTTGTTCTTTTTTTTCTTCTTCTTAATTACCCCAAATTATCATCAGAAATGTTTAATTGTTTATTAGATTGTTTTTTTAGAAAGTTGTTTTCCAACGTAACGGATTTCGAGCTTTTACTTCATCGTCAGGTTGAAGGAGTTCTACAAGCTGATGATGAGCTAAAAGCTCGAAATCTGTTACGTTGGAAAACAACTTACTCTGAGTAGAAACTATCTTTTTAAAATGGATTTAAGATTTACTTTTATTGTTCGTGTTTCTTCCTTAGTTCCTTTCCTTCTTGTTCTTTTTTTTCTTCTTCTTAATTACCCCAAACTATCAGCAGAAATTTTTAATTGTTTATTAGATTGTTGTTTAGAAAGTTATTTTCCAACGTAACGGATTTCGAGCTTTTACCTCATCATCAGATTGAAGGAGTTCTACAACCTGATGATGAGCTAAAAGCTCGAAATCCGTTACGTTGGAAAACTACTTACCCCACCATTCATAATTTCTACAAATAAATCTTTTGTTATTTATTATTTTAAAATAAGAGTCTCAGAGATCTTCTAAATATTTTATATATTTTTTTCTACAAAAAAAGAAAACATTAAGGCTGATAATCTTAATCTGGGGATAAAAAAGTAATGTAGGAATTAGGATTACCAAAGCTTATATCAGTGCTTATTAGAGCCAGATTACCAGTTCTAACAGTTTTTTCCGTAATATAAAAAACATATTTACAAATTCGAGTTTGTATTGTTTAAATAATTCCAGCAGGAGGAATCTCAGGGAATAAAGGCCGACCTCTTTACCCTTTTAAGATTGGCTCTAATTGGAAATTTACGGCCGTTCGCCACGGTTTCACCCAGTTATTTACTTAAAAGCCGGTCGGAAAATAATTGAAATTATATTGTATAAGGAGGATGCTTAAGCAAGGACTGTCTCGCCTTTGGATTCTGCCTGCGTGACATGGGTTTTTAGGGAGCGTGCAATTCACGCACGAACGACCTCTTTCTTCCGGGCCTAACAAACCAAATATTTACAATGCTTCAAGTATAAACCCTGCCTAACTCATTTTATATCTTTGTAAACTTTCGATAGTTCAAATATTTTAAATAGATCACGGTTTGCAGTTGAATAGCTGAACAATCCAGACGTCAAACTGGACATCTGGCGAATTATAGAGGTCATCTAAACCAAAACAACTATAATGCAATTCGGCAGATTACCGTCTTGTAATTGTGGCAACAAGCCATTGTGGATTTTGGAACGTTACGAATACAAGGCGTTATCAAACTGCATGAGCTGAGAAAACATTACCTGTTTACATAAATTAAAATGATAATTCTATTGAAATTTCATTTTATGCCAAGCTTTCCACCTTTCATTCAGCCTTGATCAGGTCTCTACAGAACGAAAATAATAATTCTGAACTATTTTTGTTTTACATTTTTTTGAAATATAAACAACTATGGAGTGCTAGTAATTTTACCTAAATTCTTTCTTTTGGAATGAACCATATTATTAAAATATTGCAACTTTTGCAAAAACTAAACATAGCCTCTCGAGTTCAAAAAATAAAACAATCCTCTCGAATTTTTATTGGCTTAATTTCGTAGATTGAAGTGTATTTTTTAAAAGATTTCCGCTTGTTGTTAATTTGTGAGTTTTTTTTTTGGTAATATTAATGGTCATTTATTTGGCTTTGCCCATTTCAAACCCTACTGTCGATTTTTCGGTTCCCTCAGCCGAAAATTGTGATGTCTGCGGGGTGATGAACCATGAACTATTTCGCTTTCTTCTGGATTTAGCCATTCCCTATCTATCTAGCTATCGATTTATGTATTTATTTATCTTCGTATCTATATCTTATATGATCATTCTTATTATTATTAATTTTAATATTTGTAATTTCCAAAAACTTAGTAGCTTCAATTCGTTTTTGATGTCTTAACATTGAGTTTGTTTGTCTGTGCTACTTATCATTTCTCACTCTCTCTCTCTCTCTCTTTCTGTCTTACTTCATCTCTCTTTCTCTAATACTCTCTCTTTTTCTCTTTTTCTTTCTTACTCCATATCTCTTTCTCTAATACTCTCTCTTTCTCTCTTTTTCTTTCTTACACCATCTCTCTTTCTCTGATACTCTCTCTTTCTCTAATACTCTCTCTTTTTCTCTTTCTCTAACACTCTCTCTCTCCCTCCCTCCCTCTCTCTCTCTCTCTCTCTCTCTCTCTCCATTTATCTATCTATCTATCGCTCTCTTATTTTTATTACTATTAAATTATTATTTATTTAAATGTTATCATTTTCTAAAAAGATTGCACGTTTTAGTTCGTTCTTGATGTTCTAGTTTTGAGTTTCTGTCTTTACTATTTATCTTTCCCTTCTTCCTCTTCCCCCATAACTTCTTCTCGCTTTCTCATTCTTTCTTTCTCTTTTTCTAACAGTCTCTCTTACTTTTTGATTTTTTTAAATTTTTGCTTGTCTTCCATGTTCCTCCTCCTCTCTTTTTTCTCTCTCTCTCTCTTTACCTATCTATCGCTTTCTTATTTATATTAATATTAAATTAATATTTATTTAAATGTTGTCAATTTCTAAAAAGATTGAACGTTTTAGTTCGTTCTTGATGTTCTAGATTTGAGTTTCTGTCTTTGCTGTTTATCTTTCCCTTTTTCCTCCTTCCCCCGTAACTTCCTCTCTCTCTCTCTCTCTCTCTCTCTTTCTTTCTCTTTTTCTAACAGTCTCTCATTCTCTTTGATTTTTTTAATTTTTGCTTGTCTTCCATGTCCCTTCTCCTCTCTCTCTCTCTCTCTCCATTATTATTATTAAAGTTATTATTATTTTGTAAAAACTTTCAACAATTCAGTTCGTTGTCCGTTCTTGACGTAGGCAAGGCACTGAACAAAGTCTCTTTCTATTGATTAGTAAGGATGACAATAAAACCTAAATCTTTTATCCACGTCTAATCGGTTGAGAGAGCTAAGGTAGTTTTTACATTTTTTTTTTTTTTTTAACTTGGCCTTATCAGTCTGGTACACGTTCGTTGACCGACAGACTGTTTCTAATTGAGTGAAGATAACGATCCTTTAATAGGACCGAAAGATGAAAAGTGCAGAAAATATCAAAATGCCTCTTATATTGCACAAACCTTTCCTTTGTGCAATACCAATTGACTGTGTCAATAAAATATTGTTTTTATTAACGATATAACATTATTCGAATACAGAATCCCACGTCGTTGGTTATCAAGTAAAAAATTAAATTGATAACTTTATCATCTTCAATAATTTTAAAGCTTCCACAAAGATTTTTTTTTGTGTAAAGATAGGAGTGTTTTAAGTGTTTGCGAGATACCATTTATAAACTGGGTGCGTTAAGTGTTCGTTATTATTTCTACAGGCGATAACCTAATCTAAAAGAAATATAGGAAGTAAACGTTATTATCCTTCTTTATCGTTTTTCAATACCGTGTAATTTTTATGGCAGTTGAACCAATAAAAGGCAAAAGTTACGGACTGGTTGTTTAAATTGTATAAAGTTACAAAAAGTAAGATTTAGTAGATGAAATTTGTAGTGAAGCATATGAAAACATGGTAAGAATCCCGGTATGGAGTGTTTCTTCAAGGCCTTCTTTAGAAAAGCAGAAAACCGATAGTTTCAGATCTGGTTTTGGCAAGGCAATTTTCAAAAGTCTTGATTCTTTAAATTAATTTTTTTTCTTTGATCCTTACCGATCAGCTTAGTCTGTCTAGCATTGCTGCTTTTGTCTGTGAGACGAGTTAGACAATGCTTTAGGACTAGCTTACATTCTTGACGCACGAAATTTATGTTTCCCACTGGGGTCGCAATGTCTTTTAACATAGAGGTACTTGTCGGCCTTATCGAACGTTTAGATTCTCAAGTTGGGAGCGACTCGCCTCCGCGCACGGAAAATCTGCTTCTTCCGGTTCGGTGTAGAAGCCCACATCATCCTGCCGACAAGTCGACTTCTCCCGCTTGCCGTGTAAAGGGAAACCCAAAAAGGGTCAAAATGCATCGACTGAGTCTCCCACGCACTTCCTAAATAGAGAAGACAACTCTATCTCCTTGGATGGAGGGTCTCCGCCAGCGTCGAAATCTACGGATCCGCTCCGGCCG